TGGCCCCTGCACAGTGCCTTTTTTTATGATACTGTTTTACCAACAAGAGAAGACCAATTGTCCTGTAGAATGTTACTTCCTAGTTTTGTCTGCTTTCTTCTTTGTCATATATTTCAGCGAATTCCTCTACTTGTATTTTTTGTAAAGTAGAGGTTCTATCTAAAGGCTAGATGGATTCAAGTTAACTATTTGTTGGTTGGAATAGATCATAGGTGATGTTGTATACCATATGCTGCATCATATCTGAAGATGCATAAGATTGGCTGATTCACCTTACTGATGTTAATATTAAGCATTGCTATATTTTTCTACCCTGTCAATGCAAGGCTGGCAGTGTCCGTGCAATATTTTCAGCCAGTCCATATGTCTTTAATACATCTAGGCAATGGTAATTCGTTTTTACCTTATGTTATGCTCATTAACAAAGCCTTTGGTGTTGGTTGGAGATAAGGTTAGCTGAAACTTACAGCAGCTCCTCTGGCTTTTACCTGAGTCTTTTAAATACTCATTAATCACCCCTAGAGCATGCATGTATTCACAATTAGAATACTACCATCATAATTAATATGTTTTAGATTGTGCATGAAAACTAATAAGCACATAAACCAAATTTCATCAGTTCTAATAATACTTTTTCTCAAATTGTAATCTGAATTCTATACACATCTGAAAATCAATGGTTTCTTAAAATTACACTTGTCAGGCAGCAGTTCTGATGTAATTATTATGGCCTCCACATGCATGAACTTGTAATAGCTGCTCATATTGTAGTCACTTAAGTTAAATTATGTTCATTGTTGAGTTTATTTTCTATTTAAAATGTCTTCAAAAATATTACATGATGATATGACAGTGAAATTACTTTTCTTTCTTAGTGGTACATAAATAATGTTGTGCTTGTAACTCATGACTGATGAAATTCATGACATCGTATGGACTTTGTTGAAGTATTTAAAGTAAATGACAGATAATGTAATACCAGTGGAGGAAGCCAAAGCTGTCAGCCCTTAAAAAAAGGCACCATCCTTGGGGAGAGGGACTTGTTTGCTTGTGACACTGATTCACTCTCCCCTGCACTATTGCCTTTTCTTTTGAAGAGCTTTTTATTATGCAAGATTTCAAGTACATATGAAAATAGAGGAGACAGTATAGGAAAGCATTATGTGTCCATCACCCCTCCTTCAACTATAATGAACACATGGCCAATCTTGTTTCATCTATTTCCCCACCCATTTCCCCTCCTCCCATGTTATTTTAAATCAAATCTAAGACATCATATTATTTCATCCATAAATATTTCAGTTTATGTCTTGAAAAGATGAGAACTCAAGCCAGGCGCAGTGGCTCATGCCTGTAATCCCAGCACTTTGGGAGGCTGAGGTGGGTGGATCACCTGAGGTCCGGAGTTCTAGACTAGCCCTGGCCAACATGGTGAAACCCGATCTCTACTAAAAATACAAAATGAGCCGGGCGTGGCGGTGCACACCTATAATCCCAACTACTTGGGAGGCTGAGGCAGGAGAATTACTTGAACTTGGGAGGCGGAGCTTGCAGTGAGCCGAGATCACGCCACTGCACTCCAGCCTGGGCAACAGAGCGAGACTCCATCTCAAAAGAAAAAAAAAAAGAAAGAAAAAGAAAAGATGAGAACTCTTTATAAACATAACATTATCACATCTAAAAAGAAATGAGTAATAATGTAATAATATTATCAATTATTCTGTGTTCCAATTTCTGCTTCCTTTTTAGTTTTGTGTTTCCAGGGGTTGTGTGTGTGTTTGTGTGTCTGTGTGTGTGTGTGTGCATGTATGTACGTATGTACAGGGTGGGAAAGGCAAGCATACTTAATAGATGATTCTGTGTTCTTCTAACGGGGACATACAGTGTGTGGTTGTCTTTGCCCCCAGTTATTTTCAAGAGCGCAGCTTTCTGAGATTCACTTAATTGTCAGAGCTGGAAGTCCCCTTAGATCACCTAATAACTTCATTTTATAGATGAGGGAACAGATACCTAAGGATGAAAAACGATAGGCCCAGAGACACAGTACTTTAGTAAAAGAACTAAAAATATTGAAGGTAGCTTCCTTGTTTAGGAATCAGAGGGCATACAGTTCTTAGACTCATTGGATGCTAAAGCCAGACCTAAAAGTTCATATAGATAGCCTCTCATTCTGCCAGAGGTCTCAGTCTGGCAGTCTGTTGACAAGGTCCAGACCACAAATATATTTTGTTTGTTCCGCAGTGTTTTGGGGGAAAAGTGATTTGGCTTCAACATTTAAAAAATCCAGGTAGTTCACATCAAAGTATACATTTCAGGAAAAAAGAGGATGTTAGCACACTGGATCTGCATGCCCACGTGGCAGCAATCAGTTGGGGTTGAGTAATGGTTTCTTGCTTTGGAATGGGCACAAGCTTCTAATTTACCATAGGCCGCACCACTCCCAAGTGTTTTAACAAATATTATATTAGAGTTACATTAGATGTGACCTGGGAATTTCCCTTTCTTAAAACTAGAAGTAATTCTGTTGATGGTGTGTCTCTAAGTGAGTGGTGGGAAAATGGTGGTCTAGAGAATGTCTGCTTGTTTAAATGTGGCAGCCACTTCTCACCAGGCCCATTTCTCTCATGTAAGTTACCTGCCTTGCCCCTCTAGACATTTAAATTTATGACCTCTAATCTAAACCATGCAATCAGAATCATTTTATTCTGTGCTGGAGACTTCTTACAACCAACCTCAGTAGACTAGAGAGTTCAAGATTCCTTTGCTGTCAAATAACATTACATACTCTTGTTTTTGATTTCATTCATCTTGTTAACCCACAATTTGGGATGTTACTTATCCCCCATACTGGTTTTCGAAATATATAATAAAAAGAGATGCTAAATGCAAAGCAATCTCCCCAAAGAATAGGTGAACTTCCAAATCTCGTAGGAAGGCCAAGAAGGAAGAGTATCCTAAATGGGATGACAAGTAACTCCCATAACAGAGAATCAGAAGGTGGATTTAGCTTAGAAGCGCCCACATAAGAGTTTTGATTTATCCAGAAAAGTTAGACAAGCAGGCAGTGGGATGCAATGGGATGGCTATAAGACTTGGGGAGCAACAAATATGGGCTTGAATCTCTGCCTTGCCATATGACCTTGCCAAGTGCTTTCCTCTTGGTAAACCGAGGCTTCAAAACTAAAATACTCTGCTTTTTGGAGTTGTGATGATTCTGTGAGCTGCTGGGACACTGAACACAGATCAGTTCCTTTCAAAGCTCACACTAGGAGATACACAAGTGTCCTTGTGGTTTAGCCTTTTTGGGTCACTTGATGTTAGCATGGAGATACTTTTCCATTTTAATATCTGAAAAAACTTCTGTCACTAAAGAATAAAGATTAATTGCAGGGGTACTGAAACTGTTAAAAGGAACACATCACCAGGCCAGCAATATCAAAAGCTATGAATGGTCGCTGTTCATTTCCATTTGAATGATGCTCAGCCTTTGTCTAGGGCTTAACAGACTTCACATTAAGATTTGTCTAAGGATTCTGTACACCTCAATTATCCACTCAGTGTTAAGAATCTACCATTCTCTTCTGGGCCTTAGTCTTGGTAGGTATGGAGGGTGAGTGTTTCGGGTAGGCGGTTGGGCTGTTCCTACAGCCAAACTGACCAAAAGAGATTCTTGCCTTTTACTTGGCTGCCTCCAGGACTGTTTGGAAGAGCACTAGGGGAGCTCAATTCCTTTACAAATAATTCATTACTACCTGCTGTGTGGCAGGCACACACACTTGGAAGTTGTTTATCACCTAGTAAGAGAGGCAGATAAGTAAACAGAAAATTGCAACTTACTCTGCTTGCCAGTGGTTTTAGTTAGGATGAGCACAGTGGGCTCTGGTCTCCCTGAAGATATAACGTTATGTGTATCTCCAAGGATAGATAGACATTTTGTGAATGTATGGAGAGGGGGATATTCTAGGTAGAGAGAATGACATGAGCAGAGAGGTATGGGGGTCTGAAACAATGTGGTATAACCAGACAGCCCTAATCCTAGCAGTTTAGTATAACAAGAGTGTCAGAAGTCAGCAGTGCCTGAAGGCTCCTGGAGAGGTAATAATAACAACAGATACTTCCCAGGGTGCCAGGTACCATGCTAAAGCAATTTATCTTTATTTATTCAACAACTCTCTGAAGTGGGTGCTATTTTCCCAGGTGGGAAAGCTGAAGTTCAGAGAGGTTAGAGTGAGTGAACTCACTGTTGCGCAGCTGGTGAGTGGCCGTGTTGGGATTCAAACCCAGCTTCAGAGCCTAAGCTGTAAGTAGGGATTGGAAATAGGGGTCAAGTTACTCAAGTTATGGAAGGATCCCAAAGTAGGAAGCCACTAAAGGGAATTTAAGCAATGAAAGTGACTAGGGATCAGAAAATCTGGGGTTGCAGGTTCTACTCTACAGCTAATTGACTGTGACTTCGAGCAAATTCCTTTCCTTCTTTGGGCCTATGTTTTTTCATCTGTAAAATAAGGAAGATGATCAAGTACAAATCTTAATGATCCCTTTCAGCTCCTTCAGATTTTTGCTTCTCTAACGGGGGTTGGGAAGGGGCTGATTTAAGAGACTGGTAGGCATTCTCTCAATGTGCTTTGTGGTTCTTTGTACATGCTTTATACTTATGTGGGCTGTTCCTCTTGCTTGGAATGTCCTCTTGCTTCCTTCCTGCCTCTCCAAATAGTATCCCACTAGCTGTAGTCCCTCTCCATATCCCCGCCTGTCTCTTAATTCCTTCAGTGCTGTTAGCTAGGTTAGCTATGTCTAACCACTTTGACTCCTAGTTTTATACTATCTTGTATTCTTTGCTGATTGTTTCCTTTGTAATCTTTTCTTCTAATACATACTTTAGGCTGCTCCTTTCCTTCTAATTTTTAGTTTCTCTTACCCTCTATAGCACCTAACACAGTCTTGTTTGTAAGGGGATACTGGAACAAATTTTGTTAATCTTGCCCCTTTTCTTCTGGCAGTGTGTGTGAGCACAGCAAAGAGAATCTTATGACCCCCTCCAACATGGGAGTGATCTTTGGGCCCACCCTGATGAGAGCTCAGGAGGACACTGTGGCCGCCATGATGAACATCAAATTCCAGAACATAGTGGTGGAAATACTAATCGAGCACTTTGGCAAGGTATGCATTTTCTATTCTCACTACCTCTTTTCCAAACATGTGACACTTTCCCCCAACTGCCTTTTAGTGCTGTGTCTTCCTCCTTGGCTCACATTGACAATGAAAGGAAATCCCATTATGACACAATGACATTTAATGGTAACTTTTACCCTGGGAAATTCATTCATTCAGCAAACATTGCTCAAGCTTATAACTATATTACTTTCAGACACCATGCTAAATACTGGGGGTAATGAAGAAGAAAAAGTCACTGTCTGTGCCTTTAAGGTGTTAACAATGTATAGTATGGAGACAGATGGGTAAATAGGAAAATGATAGTATAAAAATAGTCTATATACAGTGAAACTGTAGGGGAGAAGATATTTATGTTCTCACTCATTGCTAGTTTCATGGCTGAGACCCCTATAACAAAAGACTGATTAACAAGAGAAAAGTATACAAATTTATTTAATAAGTTTTACATGACACAAGAGCCTTTAGAAATGAAGACCCAAAGAAGCAGGTAAACTCTTGCATTTTTTATACTAAGTTTGATGAAATGGATCATTGTGAAGATTAGTAATTAGAAGACAGAAGGATATGATCTAATGGTAATAAACTTAGGGGGATCTTAGCAAGGCTTGTTTGTTCAGATTCTTCTTGGTGTTTCTGTGTCTTCGAGGATAGGGATATTCTTTTCCTCCAGTTATAGGGAGGGTACCTCTGGAATGACCTACTTTAGAGGAAGGTCAGAGAATTCTTTTATGGCCTGCTCCGGGGAGAAGGGGAGAAGGCAGAGAAACCTTCTTGCTTCTGCTGTTTCCACAAATGCCAAGGTGCCGTATTTTGGGATAGCAGGTCCTGAACTCCATCAAAACTAAAAATAAATCAATACTTATACTTATTTGAAACCCATCTCATTCCAAAAGTATATATGGCAGCATATTTTATATTGCACATAAAATATAAGGCATCATACGTTATAATCAGGTCAAGTACAAAAGGTAAAACAAAGGTAGAGTCAGAAAATGATGCCCAGAATGAGGTTAAGACAAATATTTATTGACAAATTCTTGTAGACTTGCAACAGATGGCCCTACACTGGGGTATAAGCTTCATAGCAGCTAGCGCCATCCTAGGGAAAAGCATAATTCAGTAAAGAAGGACAGGGAGGCAAAAGCAGCAGGACTTGGTGACTGGAAGTCACCAAGGATGTGGGAGAGGGAGATTTCTGAATCCTGATTTTCTGACTTGGCTGACTCGGTGAATGGGGCTCTACTTCGTACATATAAGAATTTCACAATGGGAAAGTTTGAGGGAGATAGAGAAAAGTTCAGTTTGGGACAGGTCACATTTGAGATTTCTGAAAGACATCCAGAGAACAATGCCTCGCGAGCAGTTGACTATGTGAATCTAAAGCAGGGATCAGAAAGCTTTTCCTTAAAGGACCATATAATAAATACTTAAGCCTTTGCAGGCCATGGATCTCTGTCACAACTACTTAACTTTGCCATTGTAGTGAGAAGACAGCCGTAGACAATATGTAAACAGATGGTTGTGGATGTGTTCTAGTAAAATTCTGTTTACAAAATGGGAAACAGGCCTGTGGGCTCTAATTTGCTGACCCCTGTTCTAGAGCCCAGATGTGATAAATTGATAAATCGATTGATTCATCCAACAAATGTGTGTCGAGTACCCACTTTATACCAAACAGTATATAGTATATACCCACTATATACTATATACTGTTTTAGGAACTCTAGATATCATCTTCATAGAGTTTATATTCAAAAAGAGTAAACAGTATTCAAAGGAAGTAAAGTATGTAATATTTTAGATTATAATGAACATTAAGGAGAAAAGCAGAGAAGGGAAATAGGAGGGGTTGGAAAGTGGTTTTGCAATTTTAAATACAGATAGGAAAGGAGAAAATAAGGAAATGAGGAGAGCCTCACAGAGAAGATGACCTTTCAGCAGACATTGATAGGGAGTAGAGGAATGATTCATTCACCTATCCAGAGAGACAGGATTCTAGGCCGAGGAAATGGTATGTGCAGAATCCCAGAGGCAGAAGTGTGCCTGTCATATTCACAGTACAACAAGGAGGCCAGACTAGCTAGAGTGGATTAAGCAAAAGATGAAATAGGAAAAGATGGGCCTGAAGAGATAATGGAGAGGGACATACTAGATCCTGTAGTGGAGCCTTATAATCCACTGGAAGAATTTTGGATTTGCTCTGCCTGAGTAAGATAGAAGGGGGGCTTTGATCACGGGAATAACAGGATTTGATTTAGGCTTAACAGGCTTATTCTGGCTGCAATGTGGAGAATATGAAGGAAGTCAAAGCAAATCTAGATAAATTGAGATACATACTGTGTTCATGGAGTGGAAGACTCAACATGGTTAAGATGTCAATTCTTTAAAAATTAATCTATAAGTTTAAGGTAATCAATATGAAAATCCCAGCAAGATATTTTGTAGATAAAGACAAGATAATACTAACATGTATGTAGAAATGGAAAAGAACTGTAAGGGCTAATACAATTTTGAAAAAGAATAAACTGGAGGTAGGTATTAATAATATTAATGCTTACTGTATTGCTTCAATAATCAAGACAGTGTACAATTGGCAGAGGTAATTTGATAAGTCCTCTTGTCTACTTCTTACATAAACAAATAGAACAGAATAGAGAATCCACAAATAGCCATACAGAGTATGGCCTGATTATTTTTCATGAAGGTACAAAAACATTTCAAGGGAGAGAGGGTAGTCATTTCAATGAATTGTATTAGAGCAATTGCAGCTCTTCAGGTAATGAAAGTGAACCTCAACCTCAACCTCTCATTTTATATAAAAATGAGCTCAAAAAGGATCATACATTTATATAAATCATAAAACTATAAAACTTTTAGAAGATAATATAGAAAACTGTTAGAGCCTAGGACTTATTGAGGAGACATAACACCAAAAACACAATCCATTAAAGAAAAAAAATCGATAAATTGACTTCATCAAAATTAAAAAGTTTTGCTCTGTGAATGACCCTATTAATAAAATGGGAAAACAGCTACTGAGTTTTGGAGAAAATATTTGCAAACCACATATCTGACAAAGGATTAATATCTAGACTATACAGAGAACTCTCAAAGCTCAACAGCACAAAAATTCAATCTAATTAGAAAGTGGGCAAAAGACATGAACATGAAGTATGCATGACAATTAAGTATATGAAAAGATGTTCAAGATCACTAGCCATTAGGGAAATATAAATTAAGACCATGATGAGAGATCTCTACACACCTATTAGAATAGGTAACGTTAAAAATATATATAGTGACAATACCAACTGCTGACAAGGGTACACAAGAACTGGATCTCTCATACACTTCTGGTAGGAATATAAAATTTGGCAACTGCTCTAGAAAACAGTTTAGGAGTTTCTTAAAAACTAAACATGCACTTCTTTAGGATCCATCATTTACACTGCTGGGCATTTATCCCAAAGAAATGAAAACATGTCCACACAAAACCTTTATAGGGATGTTAATTAATATTTGAAAAAAATTATTTAAAGCATTTTACATATATTAGCACATTTACACCTCATTTCACATAAGAAGAAACCAAGGTACAGAGAAGTTAAGTGACTTGTCCAGGGTCATGGAGTAAGTAAATGTTGAAGCTCAAATTTGAAATCAGGCAGTTCAAATGTATACTTTACCACCTCTAGATCTTTGTTATGTGTCTTGCAAATGGGTACCTGAAGTAAGTGAAGGTGAAGGTCATTATAGATGAGAGAGCTAAGGAACTTTGAGGCAAGAGTTGCTGAAGGGTCATCCACATAGCGAAGATTTTTGATAGAAAATAATTTTCTAATCCTAGCATTTGGTGGTCAGATCATGGGTCTTGTACGCTTGGTTAAGGAGTTTGGTCTTTATCCTGAAGGCAGTAGGGAGCCTTGGAAGCATATTCTGAACATTCATTATATGATGATTAATTGCATTTTAAATGTCCTAATTCATTTATAAGTGGATAAAGGAGTGACACAGCATCTCATCATTAGTATAACAAAATAATTTTTTTGTTTCTATTCTATGCATTTTTTAGGGGCAAATGCCAACTTAAATTTTATTAGAAAATGTGTTGGTTGGCAAATGACCTCAGTCCCATTCTAGTTCATAAAAGTGTGATTTTGCTATTCCAAAGCATATTATGTGGCATGATTTGAAGAGCAATTAAATGCTAGTTATCTCTTATTCCCAGGATATACTAGGAGGGCATTTCTATTAACTAGTGGTCAGCTGTTAAGTGAGGTTTTCACATCCTTGTAACCTGTTAATATGTGTTAAGTAGTTGAAGTTCTGACGTTTATGTGATACCAGGGATGTACGCTGACCATGTTTTCCAAACAAAGACATGGTAACCAAGGATCTTTTCTGATTTATGGATTTATTTCAAAGGAAACATCTTACATGGAGATATGAAATGAAATCCCAGTTTATTAAATACTTATCAAGTTATCTTTTTTGAAAAATAGCAGAATGATATGTGGGTGAAAATGTTCCAGAAATTCTAGACCTTATGTAGGTGTAACCTCACAGGGTGGTTGTGGGATTAAAAGAGATAATATGTGTGAGAGCTGATGCCGCTTCACACATATCAGGGATTATATGTTCCTGCCAAGTTGTTCAGTTAATGGGGTATGATTTTTCAGTTGAAATATATAATAATTTCAGTAATGTGTTTTTTTCCATTTACGCTTGCTCTTTAATAGAAAAGGGCTTAAACACATTGGTTTTAAGTTTCTTTGTTATTCCTTTCTTTCAGTCTCTCTTTTAAGAGCATCCAGGGTCTGTAAATACAATGTAAGTGAATCAGAAGAATTGATGCTTAAAGGAATCTATTACTAAGTCTTTCTTAAATTTTTTTTTTAACAACTTGAATGATCTTTTCTAAATTTTTTCTTTTCTAAGTTGGAAAATAGGTAAATAATAGAAGATCTATCTCTACACTGATTCCC